TTGGTTTGGTTTGGTTTGGTTTGGTTTGGTTTGGTTTGGTTTGGTTTCTGAGACAGGATTGTTGTGTAGGTCATCCTGCCTTAAACAATCCTCCTACCTCAGTCTCCAGCACGCTGGGATTGCAGACCTATGCTATCCTGCCTATTCAAAATTAACTTCACACAATTAAAAACAAACAAACATGAAAATGCCAGGTCTGGGAATCACGGAAGGAAGACTTCAGATTCAGGTAGTAGGCAAAAACAAAGAGTGTTTATTCTACAGAAATTGCCAACATGCAGGAGCCCCCATTCCGTAGAATGGTGACCAGGAACTGAGCATGAGGGCTCAATTTAAAAACAGTTAGGGGATGTCCCAGTGTGATTAGGTAATCTTTACGCTGATTGGTTGGTGCTCATCTAGGGGATTTGGGAGAACTCATGATTGGTTCTGTGCTTGGGGCACTTCATGGAGTGCCCAGGTAACAAAGTATTATTGAATATGTATATTTTCTAGGACAAGCGGTGGTGGTGTATGCCTTTAATGCCAGCACTCTGGAGGCAGAGGCAGGAGAGTGTCTGAGTTCAAGGCCAGCCTGGTCTAGAGAGTGAGTTCCAGGACGGCGAAGGCTACACAGAGAAACCCTGTCTCGAAAAGGCAGAAATGGTTATGGTAAGAGTAAAAAATGTGATTTCTAGTTATAAACATTAAAATATATTTATTCATTTACTTGTGCCAGGGAGTAAACCAAGGTTTGAGACTACCTTTGAGATGAGAAATGAGGCAGAGGAGGCATGGGAAGTCTGTGGTTTGGCTACATAGAGGCCAAAGGAGGAAAAAGTCAAAGTAAAGCTGTATTTCAGACACTGACTGTTACTTTTTAATTTGTTTCTTTTTACTATCTCCAGATGATGCTATCAGAAATTATGCTGCTTGTGAAGAGAGAAATTAAGCTCTTTTGGTCCAGTGAGGTTATTAAAGAATGTAATTTTCAAATCCTAGTAAAACTTTGGTAAGTGACTCAGTGGCTCTACTGAGCAGTTAATGAGAAGGGACAGGGAAGGTGGTCTTACTAAGCATCAAACGGTTCTTCATATTTACCCATTATCTAAAGATTCCGGCTATATTAAAATATTCCAGCTATATTAAAGAATAAAGAACCCTACCTCCTTTTCTGTCTTTTACGTTTTTATAGACATCGGAGACTGCCCAAGATGGTGGTTAGTTATGATAGTAGATAGATTTGGTAAGCTTTTTTGTTTTCTTTTTCTCAAGACAGGGTTTTTCTGTATAGTCCTGGCTGTCTTGTACTTGCTATGTAGACCAGGCTGGCCTTGAACTCAGAGATAGTCACCTGCCTCTGCCTCCTAAGTGCTGAGATTAAAGGAGTGCACCACCACAGTAGATTACTTGTATATGTGTGTGTGAATGTGTGTGTGTGTGTGATAGAGAGAGAGAGAGAGATAGCATCTCAATATGTAGATTAAGCTGGTCTAAGACATGGCATTCCTGTCTCAGCTACCTTATTCTTGGTAAAGTCATAAGCTACCATACCTGGGCTATAACAGTTTTGAGATCATATTTTCCTGAATGACGCTAATTACCATGATATACAATATTAGTAACATATCATCACCTGGGATGCTTGTTGAACATCCAGATTGCTGGGCAATCAGAATTTTTTATTTTATTTTATTTTTTATTATTAGTTATATTTTATTAACTCTGTATCCCAGCTGTATCTGCTCCCTCATTCCCTCCCAAACCCTCCCTCCCTCCCTCATCTTCTCCCTGCCCCTTTCCAAGTCCACTGATTGGGGAAGACCTCCTCCCCTTTCATCCGATCCTGTTTTATCAGTTATCTTCAGAACTGGCTACAAAGTCCTTCTCTGTGGCCTAGCAGGACTGGTAATCAGAATTTTGTAATTGGTCTGTTCTCCTCCTGCCTGGTGGCTGCCTCGAAGCAGCTCACAAAGTCAGGAGTGGCTAGAGACAAGAAGCATGCCTGGAATGGCCAGCAAGACCCATACAGGTATCGCACAAACCTGGCTAGTTCAACTTTACTTCCAGAGAACAAAGAATATCTACCCCTAGGGGAGTGGTTAGGAGGCTCCAAGGAGAGGTGAGCATAACTGGCTGAAACTAGGCACTTCAAGGATGCTTGATCTGAATTATACAGCATGCTCCAGTCATAAGAGTAGAATGTCAGTGCTTGATTAACAGATAGGTGCAGGGAGGGGAGAGCTAGCAGGAAGCTGTGTCAGAGATAATATATCAAGTGTGGTTAGCGGAGTCTGTAATCTAAAAGTCAGGCAAAGAGCAGGGACCCTGCCTAGGGCAGGGAGTTCTGCCTTTACCTTCAAACTTGTAATGGCTATCCGGTACGGGCAGGAACTACAATCTCAACCAACAGGGTACTTCCAACATTGGTCTAGATTGATTTAAGATTTGTCCTTTTTACTGAGGATTCCTCCTCAGATACACCAGCCCACCAGGATGAATCACTTTTGGCATGGATGCCTTTGGGAGGCAGGTAAGTTGTCACTACTTTTATTTGGTAACAAAAGGAGAGTGTCACATGTGGCATTTCCAGCCTTCAATTGGTAGTATGTGCTTGGCTAACTTCATTCAACGTAATTTTTTATATCATAAAGGGAAAACTCCAGTATAACATGTATGACACATTATACATTTAGTATTTATTCCTTTGTCCAGTAATGGCAGGGCTTTGTTAATGCCTGAAGTAATCTCAGGTCCTTAGTAAGCACACACTATCTATTGAAGAACAAAGGATGACTGGATTAAGCCAAGCAGTGTCTTCTGTTTTCCTCCTTCTTGCCACTGGTTTTTCTGTTTAACTTTTCTTTTCCTTTCTTTTTTCTTTTTCTTTTCTTTTTAGAATCTCCTGAGTGCTGAGATTACAGGTGTCAGCATGTCCACCTCTGCCACTGTCAACACCCGCCATTGCCTCTTCATGAAATGATGGCTGACCCAGGTGATTGTGGGAAGATCATAAATGGTGCAATCTTTTTGTTGACCCTCTTTGACTAGATTATAAATGGCTGTGGGTGGGGAGGGGTGGAGGTGAGTGGTACTAGGACTCAAACCTAGGTTTTGGACATACAAAACAATTCTACCACTGAACTGTATCTGGCTCTGAGGAAGATATGTTTGAAAAATGGTTTAGAATTTGCCAGATCCTATGAGTGAGTGACCTTAAAAAAGATAGTCTCACAGTGATAAAGGTAACACAGTAAGTAAGGTAAATAGAGACATACAGGCTGACGTTGACCTCGCTTCCTGTCAGGAAGACTCTTAGAGATGCCGTTTCTAAGCATAGGCCATTTGGCACAGCTGTATATCATTCTCAAATGGTTTGGGTAGACCAGATGCATCCCATTCTCACCACTGCTGAGGGCCAGAAGAGCCGAAATGGCTCCCAAGGAAAGTAAGCCCCTGTTTCGCATTTGTTTTGTGTTGGGGCTATACCTAATGCTCAATTCTGTGCCCTGCCTCTGAGTTAGACTTCCAGCCCCCCAAGCTTCTGCTTGGTAGAAAGCTTTGTTGGAACGTAGTCATTGTCATGTAGTATTGTCTGTGGCCTTTATGGCTATGACAGAGTTGAGCAGGTGTAGAGGCTGTATGCTCTGCAGACCCTCAAATATTACCACTTGGACTTTTCAGGAAGTTTGGCTATTGCCAGTGGAGATTAAATCCTCCTCCCACTTTCTTTATAGGGGATTGCCTTTACAACTGATCCTACAAATTGAAATCGGTTTGCTTCTGAATTTCTTCCTTGGAAAATGAAGATCACAAACACACATTGACACAGCAGGGCATAGTAGTTCCCTCCTGTAGTCTCAACAGAACCGGGTATTGCTTTAGGAAGATCAGGATAACAAGGCCAGCATTAGTAACGTGAGACCCATCTCAAAAAAACAAAGCTTTTTCAGACTAGATATTTATGCGGAAAGAACATTTTTTTCTTTTTATTTTCGAGACAGGGGTTTCTCTGTAGCCCTGGCTGTCATGAACTCAGTTTTTAGACCAGGTTGCCCTGGAACTCACAGAGATCCTACTGCCTCTGCCTCCCAAATCCTGGCATTGAGAACGTTCTCAACCATGCCCAGAAAGAACTCTTGGTTATGTCTCACTGTAGCCAACTAGTTTTTTCTATATGGTTCTTCCTTCTTTTCATGGATGCCTTTTAAAATCCAGTTATTCATAAGTCTCCAGAAAGTTGTAACTTAGGGTTTTCTTGTTTTGCTGTCTTGTTTTTGTTTTTGAGACACTGTCACACTGCGAAGCCCTGGCTAACCTGCCTGGTCTCATCTTAAAGATTCATCTGCCTCTTGCCTCCTCTGAGTGCTGGGATTAAAGCTATATACTACCGCACACCCAGCCTTACCTGGCTTTTAAAAAACATTTAGAAATTATTATAACATGTACGCACATGGACTATGTGATAATTGAATGTTTATTCCCTGATGCCATTTATTGAGCATGTACTCTGAGACTTAGACATGTTCCCTTTGGAATTTTTACCAAGAACCGGAAGAGCTGTGCATTCCTTAGTTGCCACCTCCATCTCAAAGACAAGTTTTCCAAGCATACATAATTTTACCTAGACCACTGCTATAAGGTCTGGATTTTGGTTTTTTGTTTTGTTTTGTTTGCTTGCTTGTTTCTCTCTCTCTCTCTCTCTCTCTCTCTCTCTCTCTCTCTCTCTCTCT